GCCGGTTTAATTCTTTCTCCCCTCATTAGATTTGTAGAGTCACCTCGCTGGCTCTGGGGCCGCCCACCGGGCCTCCTACACACTTCCTTATTTCATGCGTATCTGTAGCAGAGCGAAGATTGTGGACGAATACGTATTTGTTTGCAATATAACCTCTCTGGACTACAAACTGAACTCTTCTTCTTGTCAAATGCATATTTCCGGATCAAAGCACTGATGTCAGCCAGGAGGAGTAACCAAGAACGTCTGCTGTCTGAAATGGTTTCTTTTTACTTCATCAGGCATTTTTTTTCTTTCTCCTTTAAACTAAATGAGTGTGCCAGTTGAGGAACTTACAGCGCCTCTATAGAACAGGGTAGACTGTGGGTTTCCGAGACTGTGGAAGTTGAGCTCAGTTTGGGAGTAGAAAGCCTTGTCACCACAGGGTCACAGTGAGTCTGAACCAGCTCGGCGGCAGTGAGTTTTTGAGTTATTAGGGAACTCAAGAGTCACTCCATTTCCGGCAGGGTGCAGGGACTGGGCTCCTCTTAGTGACACCCAGCTTCTTACCACTCCTGCCCGGTGTTGCTTTGTTCTAGTGTGCCGTCTATGGGCTGCCATCATCTTTCTGTAGAATACTTTTAAAGCGCTTTGCAAGCTGTTTCCTCTCCTGACTCTCATCCCTTTTCTGTTAAGCTCTCTGGCTGTTTTGTCTTCCAGTGTTAGCATACAGATTGTCCACACGTCATCTCTACTAAGTCCACATAAAACTATTCTCGCTGGGTGTATTACTCTGCTACCTAGCTTTAGCACTAAGGATAATTTCTTCTTTTAATGATAAATCTCTTGTGATATTTAGTTTGCTTTGATGTTTGTTCAATTCAAAAGTATTCTGTTAAGTTCTACAATAAGACAGTTATATTTTATGTGACTTATAAATTGGCAAGTAGACTATTTTGATAGATTAATCTTTTTCTTATATAAGTTAAAAGCTTATAATTTGGATGGCATAAAGTGGATAACGTTAATTTGAATGGCATAAAATAGATAACAAACAATTTTTACATATGAATGTAGTTATAGTTTTCAGAACAATAGTAGAATTTATGGTTTTGGATAACCCTGTATTAACCCAAGATGGTTACCAAAATGTCCTTTCGTAACGAATTTGGAAAGTTCTCCTGTAGCTACGTTCTTTGGGGTGACACTTAGCTTCCGCACTTGGAGTCTATTCTGCATCCAGTACATCTTCTAGCAGCTACTTTTAATCTACCGTCTGCTTATTATTAATGGACCCTGAAAGTATTCAAAACTATTATTTATTGGTACATTAGACAATCATGAAATGCCTCTCCAGTAATTAATCAAGGGTTTACATTTCTTCCGCTTTCTTTTCCCTTATTCTCGATTGTAAACTTGGGGCACCGAGGGAAAGAGGAGAAGGAGGGGAGCAAGTAGTTGTTAACTGTCGTTAGGTGCTGGCGAGTCTGTTCCGGGCCAGCACACAGCAGCCCTCTGCACAAAGAATGAAACATTGGTGTGTCCTGCACCCGTAGGAGGGGACAAACTATTATTATTAAATTTCTATGTGAAAATTTGGGGGCTAGAGTGAATCTGCTTTGTTTCTAGTGATACTCCCAGATTTGAACACACAAAAAAGTTTGGTTTTTAGAAAGGTTTCATGCTCAAGGAAAACAAATGTGGAGCATATTCAGAGTTGGTTTTGTCTTTTAAATCAAGATTTCCTTAGAGAGAGAATCTTTGAGGATAATAAATGACTATGTCTACTATGTAGCAGTTCTGACAGGAAGTACTCTTATTTCTGTCTTCATCCAACTAGATTAGATAACAAAAATTATGTAAGAAACTATATATATGTATATGTACATATAGATTATATTTATGTGAATATAATATAAAATTCTACCTGGACTATAAATATAGGTATTTGAAATATAAATAAATATATGTGATACTATATCTATGTCACACATATATTTATCATAAATGCACTCACTGCCGTCAAGTTGATATCAACGCTTAATGACCCAATAGCACGAAATAGAGCTGTCCCTGCGGGTTTCCAATATTAAAAATCTTTCTGGGAATAGAAAGCCTCATCTTTCTCCCATGGAGCTGTTGATAGATTCAAACTGATGGCCTTACCATTAGCAACCCAGCTGGTAACTCACTCTATCACTAGGACTCCAGACATTCACATGGACACACTTTATCAGGTTATAGTGGCAGATGGTTTTATTGTGATACGTTTAGTGCATTTAGAATTTAGCCTAACATTTTTCTCTCAGACAAAAGTTCACAAGCGTTACCTGTTAGTAAAGCGTAGCAGACATATCTCCAATGCCCTTTAACACATGTGGATTAACATAAGGACTCTATGTAGAGACTCATTTGGGGGTTGTTTGATTTCAGATATTCTTTCATTTCCTGAGAGTTACTTTGGGGGGCGTTAATTTTCACACTGTCTGCCCGCAGTGGACAAGGTCCAGAGCCAGTGGGACAGCACTCAGCATAGTGTGCAGTCCCGGCAGCAACAGCTGGAGGCCATGGTCGTGGACAGCCTGCAGTGGCATGAGCTCCGGGAGGAGACCGCGGAACTGCTGCGGAAGGCCGAGGCACAGCGCTACAGCCTGCAGCAAGCCCGCCGGGATCCGCTCATCAAACAAATCTCCGATAACCACGTAAGTCTCGTCAGGTCTTTTCAGGCAATCGCATTTGGTTGGCCGCACGTTTTTTTTCTTCTGTTTCTTCTACTGTTAACTCTATGAGTTTTAAGGCCCTGCTCTGATGTGTTCTCACGTTCCTAGAATGGATATTGAAAGTCTTCCACCAAGAAGATTAGTTGGGAAAAAAAGGGGGAGGTGTACCGTACAGAGCTGTGTATAGATATGAACTATTTAGCTTGCAGATTATTTGCAAACTAGATGCACACATCCAACCAACCTCTAGGAAGAGAATGTTATCAGCATTCCTGGGGCCTCTAATTGCTTCCCACCTTCCCTTTCCTAGACAATCTGAATTTATAAAGCATTTTGAGACTTGCATTTAAGGCTTGCTGTCATGAACACATCAGGTTAACAAGTTTAATAGTTTCTAATAACCTTTCATACCAAGTCACTTTATTGAACAAGATAAGGAGGACGGGTAATTTTTAAAAATTGGTTTAAGCGTAGTGTTGATGTTCTGAAACATTAGGCTATTTTTAAGTACTATTTTAAAATCTCTTGGATTGGAAGTTATGGTTGCTTTGTAGTATTTTGGCACAATACTTATATGCCCTTTGGACAGGGTAAGATGAAAGTGCCCATCTTTGATAACTAGAATAAGACTTTATGACGCATGTTAATATTCCTTAGAAACAGAAGCTTTCCATGGTAACGATTTTTGACGACATGTGGCCAGGCATGCTGGTTGCTTGGATCATTCTGTGGCTTTATGATACCTGCTGACTATTTTCATTAAACAACTCAAAAAAATAAAATAAGAGCAAAGCCTCTGGAGATGTAACTGAAGAAATACGATGAAAAGTAGGATCAAAGTTTAAATCACCGTGTTCAATATATTTTTTCTAGTCAACAGTATAGTTATTTTCTTTGGAAACTATAAGGTGTGTTTTTCTACTAGTTGCTGCAGGAAAAGCATTATAGGAATCGTCTCTGATCAATTCTATTCCATGGGGGAATCTTTTGCTCCAATGACTCAGGGATTGAAAGTGTATCAAGTAACCAATGCCTACTGACATACACTCAGCACCAGTTTAGCTATGTAAGCAAATTCTACATAAACCCTGCTTGGCTGCTTGATCCACCCAAGCAATTAATTTTGTAAATAGTCCCAGTGATTCGGGGCCAAGGGACAGTAGGAAGACTTTGCTGAAGTTGACATCTCCTATGTCTTCAAGTTGCCCCCACCTGCCTGTCACTTTGTTGTGGTGGCTGGTGTGTGCTCTGAAGCCGGAAGCTGGGCGGCTCACTTACTGCCGTGGAGTCAGTGCCGGCTTATAGAGGCTCTGTAGAACCGGGTAGAATTGTTCCTGTGTTTCCGAGAATGTAATTCTTTATGGGAGTAGAAAGCCCCATCTTTCTCTCTCAGAGCAGCTGGTGGTTTTGGGTCACTGACCTCGCGTATCACAGCCCTACTTGTAACCACGATGCCACCAGGACTCCCTTGCTATGCCAATCATTCTTTAAATATAGACGGGGGTGGGGGGTGGGGCACACTACAAAGAAAATCCTGCAAATCAACTTCTGATTTCAAATTTGCCAGTGAGACTCTCTGGGTGATAGCAGACCATCGTTCACTAAGTGTTGGAAGCTAAGCCTCTACTTGGGAAGGTACTATAATCCCGTGGCTCCTGGGCTCAGACACCCCAAGATAATGACACGGGTGCTGGACGAGATTCTTGTTCCGTTATACGAAAGGCTGCTATGAGTCAGTGCTGACTCGAAGGCAGCTAATAAACCAATAGTAAATTCAATACTAAGGAATGGACTTTCTTAAGAATGTACAGCAGAGGGAATGATGCGGTGAAGCAAAATATTTCAAAAGGAAAAGAAAATCTGTTAATATCAACTATGGACATGACTATGGAGCCTTGATGGTGTGGTGGCTTAAGTGTTGGACTGCTAACCAGAAGGTCAACAGTTCAAAGCCACTGGCCACTCCAAGGGAGAAAGATGAGGCTTTCTACTCCTGTAAAGAGTTACAGTCTCATTGACTCACAAGGGGTTACCATTACGAGTCAGAATCACCTTGTTGAGGGGCCTTGGTTGGAGTATGTTCTTCACTGGGAGTTCCCTGGGGGTGCAGGTTACGCACTGAGCAGTAGTTCGATCCCACCAGCCAGCCCACAGGAGAACGCTGAGACTTTCTAGTCCTGTAAAGAGTTACAGCCTCAGAAGCTCCAAGGCGCCCTTAGTTCTGCTCTGTCCTGTAGCTCTGCTCTGTTCCTGCGTTGGGAAGCGCTGGATGGCAGTGAGTTTGACTTCTCTGGATTTTCCTGACCACTTTTAAAAACATGTTCCTTTCGCTTCTGGAATTACTAGTTTAGCTTACAAGAGTTTGTCTCAGTATTTCTTTTCCTTCTTTCAATATCTCTATCTAAAACATGTTCGCACCCTGAAGTACCGTGTTCTGGTAAGAGCAGTTACTGACCATTACATCTGAACTTGTACGTCAGACACTGCTTCAGGACCTGGGCCCGGGAGATGGGATCGTGGTGGCGTTCGATAATGTCCTGCAGAAGCTGCTGGAGGAATACGGTCACGATGACACTCGGAATGTGAAGGAAACCTCCGACTACTTGAAATCTGCATGGATCCATCTAAAGCAAAGGTAACTCTGGGATCCCGGTGGGTCAAGTGGAGCATTTGATTGCTCTGACTTTCTGACGGGCGTGTGCCAGATACATGACAGGCACGAATGCGTTGTATTGCTTTTTCTTACTATTGTGTGCTAAATTAATACTACCACATTTGGTATAGGCTGTAGATTCCTATAAAATCTACTTGAATGGAATTTCAACAGTGGAGTCTTTCTTTGATAAGTCTAAACCTTGGCATTTATCATTTTATGTGTTGTTCATTTCTTCTGCCTCTTGGTTTTTCTCAGAATCCTTTTGCAGTGTTCTGATGGTAAGCCCCCTGTAGGTATTTATAGATGTCTGTGAGGGCTATTATCTTTGATGTATCATTTGGCTGGGGCACCTTCAGTTGAGGACCAGACAAACCCCGGGCCCAACACTAGACACCTGACATGTGCTGTGTGTAGTTAGGCCTTTGACTAGTTTGTTATGTTTCCTTCCGTTGCTCTGTCTTGTCAGTTTATTGGGAACAGTCTAAAATAGCCTATGTGTTTTTAAGAGAGATTTTACTGTCACTTGAACACTTAGGATTTAGGAACTATAAACAGTCGTTATCATCCCTTTAAGTTTGCCTATTTATATTCATCATCAGTAAAAGGTGTTTATGCACAGCACCGAGAATGACTGTGTCTAAGGGAAATGATGGCTTCACACACATCTTTATATATTCAAATGCAACTGCCTGAAAGCTAATCTAATATTACAGGCGACAAAAAGGGTACTCTCAGAACACTTCATGCTATATATTTCTGGTTATCAAATAGGACTAAACATTTAATAACATTTGATTGGAGGTATCTTTATACAATTTTAAATGTTCTTTTTCGTTGGTGTCTCTGAATCAGATTCTTTGAAAACTCGAGTAAGGGGCCTTATGAGACCAGTGCATGAGTGGAACTGAGTTCCCGGGGTCCTGGGGTCCCGAGCTTACTGAAGGGAGGTTCAGGATCTGAATCAAACTCAGAGCCATTGCTTCCTAGCGACCCTGTAGGACAGGAGAACTGCCCCTGGGGGTTTCCAAGACTAAAGCTTTACAGCCGTAGGAAGTCTGATTTCTCTCCTTCGGGGAGGGTGGTGCTTTGAACCGCCAACCTTGACGTGAGCAGCCTAATGGGCAACCACTTTGCCATGAGGGCCCCTTCAAAAGCACGGTAGCAGGTAATAAACTCGATATATAGGTGAAATCTGACTACCTGTCCTACTTGATCTTTCTGGCATTTCTGGACCACTGTTTTTCTTTTTCTGTACCAGGTGACGTGGACGTAGAGTAAGTATTCCATCACTGACATAAGGCGAGAAGGAGAATGAATGAAAACCGCTTTCATGCTGAGAAGAGATAGCCCTTAACCTTACTGTCATAGGCATGTTTCTCAAAATTTTGACTTTGCTTCGTTTGTAAACAGGGAAATTGATCACTTAGGAATATCAGCTGCTTTATTTAGCACCTCCAATTTTTTTTTTTTTGGCTTTAACTTTGTAAATATTTTAAGACAGCCTGCAGCAGTGGTTAGATTAGATGGAAGAGGAAATTAAAAATGAATTCTATTACAAGGTGATCTTTCATTTATCATGGCTCAGCCAACCATGGTGTTCTAATTTTATTGTAGTTACAAGAGGCTGTCCTCATTTTTTCTGTTTTTATAAGGAAATAAGCTGTTATGCTAATATTTAGACATGATTTCTTGGGACATCAAGGTATATTGTTATCTACAAAGCAGGGAACTTACAACAGAACTGCTGGCCATACAATCCCTTTGTGAATGACAGCTAATGTGTCTGTGTGTTGAGAACTGTCTTTCTTAAACACAATGGTACTTATATATTTTCTAACTGTTTTAAAGGGACTTCATTCTAAATGCTTTCCTTGTCTTCTCAAACCTACATTAGACTCTTGTGGATAATACAGATTATTATTGCAAATACCGGATGATTATTGATGTGTGCTGTTAAGTTGATTCCGACTCCCAGTGACCTGACAGAGCAGCCCGGTGAGGTAGGGTTTTCCTAGGTGTAATCATTTGGTTGCGAAGTTCTTTTGTGGAAGTTCTTTTGTGGAACTGATGGTTGGATTTGGACCACAAACCTTTTGGTTAACAATTAAGTACTTAACTGTTTCTGCCCCTGTGCTCTTTGTGACCTTACTGTGCGTCAAATCCAGGGCTTATCACCTTAAAAAAATACTGCCTGCCTAAAGTTCCTTTTAGCAAGAGCAAGATGTGACAGTGTGCTGCAGTAAAGATGGTCATCCCCGGAACGCCCCTCCCTTCTAGGGCAGTTCGACTGTTGCACTGGGTTGCTATGAGTTAGAATTGATTGGTTAAAGAGCCTTTTTAGATATCCATCTGCCCTGGAGACTTTTCATTCCATGGAGTATTTATTCGTGGACCCTATGCTTATCTGTACTTTTACATTAAAAGAATATATTTGTTTCATCCTACAAGGGGAATCCAAGTCCTAGCACATCATCACAGGTCCGGTAGGTGCAATTGTACAACGGTAATAAGTAAAGATTATAGTAAAGTTATAGAGTGCATGAGAGATAGAAGAGAGAGATTGAAATAATGGAGTCAGACACAATTCATGGTAGCATTGCTCACTCAGCCCTGCTTGGTGGTCCACGTGGAGAGAGAGCAATCTTTAATGCTAACCAAGGCTTTTATATTCTCTGGGGACTTGCAAGCCCCCTAATTATAGGTGAAGATATACTTCACAGGAAAGGGTTGTGCTATAGGTCATACAGTAATGGAAGGGGGTGGTGTAGGGACATACACGCAATAGGTAGAGGAGGGATTGGGCGTATGCATGTGACAAGATGGGCTGATCCCAGATTTAGGATGGCTGTTTAACTTTGGACATCCCAGAGTAGGTTTGGTCTGTTCTCTGGATCTCCATAAGAACCATTAGCAGTAGGGTGTAAACTCCATCTATAGGAACCAAGCTAATGGTTGCAAGCCTCAGGGAGAAGTAGTCCATTGTCCCCAGCAGCAGGGAGCAGGCCCACCCTGTGATGGGGCAGTCTGGTAGCTGACTGCCTCAAGGGAAATACCTTTCATCATTAGCTGCAAGCAGTGTCCTAAGTCTAACATATTTGGGGGAGACTGGGAGAAATCTTTCTGTTTCCCATATCATCCCTAGAGTCACTTGGCACCTCTGTTAAGAGCACATAGTCTAATCTGAAGCTTTGAGGTTAAGAGAAGATAAATGACAAGTTCAGAGTAGAAAGTCTCATCTTTCTCCCAAGGAGCTGCTGGTGGTTTTGAACTGCTGACTTAATAGTTAGCAGCCAGCACATAACCGCTGCACCACCAGGGCTCCTTCAGTGTCACATCCCACACCCCAGTCAGTAGCTGGGATGTTGACCCTGTCTCGGAGTGACCCCTGTGTCAGAGTAGACAAGGTTTGTGGAGGATTGTTCTGTCAGGCACCGTGCTACCACAGCACATCTCATTCTTGATCTCATCTCTCTCAGGGTTGCTCATAGTTTGTTATGATCTACCCAGTCCGAGGCTTTGCACAGTCAATAAAATCTAGGTAAACTTCTTGCTAGTCTTCTCTGCTTTTGATCAATATCCACTTGATTTCAGCAATGCTATTCTCCTTTCCATGTTCTCTTCTGAGTCTGGCTCAAATTTCAGGCACTTTCCTGTCAATGTACAGCTGCAGCCTTTTTGGATTATTTTTAGCAAAAATTTACTTGTGTGTGATATTGTTAGATAATTTCCACATTCTGGTGAATCACCTTTCTTGCAATGGGCACAAATGGGGGATCTCTGTCTAGGGATTGTCTAGGTAGGTGACTTCTGACTTCAGTTTTGCATTCTTTGTTTCAGTTGGTGGTCTGCCAATTTCAGGCTGCTATTGAACGTCTTCATTGTCTCTTTCCATAGTTGTAGTTGATTTGATTCCTGTGTATTCCAGCTGGTGAGGTGGAGTTTATAGTGTTCCAAAAACCATACTGCCAATGAATATGTTGTTGGTCTTTCAAACTTTTACATGGTCTCTGGCGTCATTTCTGTCATATATGCCATCTTTTCCAACTGGCGATCCTTTTCATTTCCAACTTTCACATGTAATCACCAGTAATTGTCTGTAGTATTAAATTAAAAAAATAAATGACGCTGAAGGGAGTTGGAGGGAACCAGCCCCCACCCGCTGCTACTCCTATGAGTTCAGTAATACTACCTCTGGGTTCAGTAATGCACAATTGTACGGTTGAGATATATAAGCATTATATATATATATATATATATATATATATATTTAGTCATCGAGAGCATGAGAGATAATACAATAATACAGTCAGGCATGATACATAGCAACATTGCTCACCTCAGCCCAGCTTGGTGGTCCATGTGGAGAGAGGGGGAAGGGAAGGAGGAAAAGGGAAGGGAAGGAGGGAAAGGGAACAAGGGAGAGGGGAGTGACCAGGGAGTGAGCAGCAAGGAGCTCAGAGTCAGAGAGAGAAAAGTCCGAACCTATATTGCTGACCCATGCCTATATACCTTTTTGGTACATGCCAGCCCACTAATTACAGGTAGAGACATACGTCACAGGGAGGGGTTTCACTATAGGCTACACAGCAATGAGAGGGTGGTCTAGGGGGTGGTCTCTGGGTCTCCATAAGAACCATTATCAGTAGGGTGCAAACCCCTCCTACAGGAGCCAAGCTAATGGCCCCAAGCTTCAGAGAGAGGTAGTCTGTTGTCTCCAGCAGCAGGGAGCAGGCCCAGCCCTGCTGTGGGATGAGACAGCAGTCTGGCAGCAAGTATCTGACTTCCCCCCACAATTGTCAATCCATTTTGTTGGCCTGTTCGATGAATTTCATACTGCAGAATTTGGTCAAAGTCGACAATTTCTTTATCATTGGCATCAGTGGTTCAGGTTTAAGTTTGAAAATCCATTGATCTTCTTTGTGGGCATTATAGATATTATACTACCAATGACAGCAGTGAACTTCAGGACACGTTTTGTT